GGAGCAGTGTGGATGCCGATGCAGAGACGGGCTTTGGGAGAACAGAGAGGGTCATCCATTTTGCCTGTGGACCAGGGAATGGTGCTCAGGGGAGGAGAATTTTTAAAGGTCCAGCTCAAATAAAAAGATGAGCACATTGCAGGCTGCAGGAGCAATGTAGACCAAGATATAGCAGTGTCTATTCCTGGAAGTACTAGAAATCTGGTGTCTTATTTTTAAAACAAATAAATACTAAAGTAGCAAGTCTTACATTGATTCATGCCTGGGTGCCAGCCTGTCTCTGCTGTCCTATAATTTCCATTCCCTCCCTCCCGCCCCCACTCCCTGTGCCCATTCCATTCTTGGTTATCCAACTGCAGATTGGAAATGTGTTACGAAATAAGTAGTATGTGTTCTTCGGTGGCCCCTCTCCTCTCGCCTTATCCTTCCTATTGTATTTTCAAGACCTTGGACAACGTGCTCCTTTTCCTGCCTCACCAGCTGCTTTGGGGGCTTCTCTCCCTCTTGTTCTCACTGCCCAGCCACAATGCACTTCTCTGTCTCTCCAATAGATATAGCTCCTTTCCACCCCACGGCCTTTACACATGCTGTTCTTTTGTTTCTTTGATTTTTCTTGTAGCAAATTCTTCTTCCTTTTTATTCCAGCTTGAAAGTCACTTCCTCAGGGCTAGGTAAGGTCCCCCAACATATACTTTCATAATGCCCTAAACTGTTCACAGCACTGATCACAATTGTAATTATCTGTATTTGCTTACAATCTGACTTTACTGCTAGAATGTGAGACTCATCAGGGCAGAGACGTAGCTATCTTGTTTATTACCGTATGTTCAGAGCCCAGCATATTGCCTAGGACAGAGTAGGTGCTTAATAAATATTTGTTGCATGAATGAATGAATGAATAAATGGAGATTGTTTTCCCTTCCCCTTTTCACCCTGACACCTCATTACATCTTGTTGCCATTTGGCTATCCAAAAGGTTCAATCGGAGATCTAATTAAATATCAAAGACAATCCAGACCAGGTCAGGCAGGAATCTGCTCTTTGACAGAGAAAGGATTGCTCTGTCCTCATGAGCACGCCTCTCTTTTCTCGTCCTTACACTAAACCATAGGAGGACCCCTTATTTCGCTTATTTGAGGGGTAAGCACAGCACACGGGAGCAGGGGATGTGAGCCCCTAGTGAGGACACTTGGCCACTTCTCCCTGTGCCAATGTCACTAGTGAAGCAAACAGCGTGATAAGCTCAGACCCACCGGTCATTTGGGGTGAGAGGAGGATGCTACCTGGTAGGCATTGGCACCTCCTTCAAGTCATTCCCTTCTCCTCTCCTCTCCTGCCACCCCCTTAGATCAGGCCCTCGTCCCTCAGGTCTTGGTGACTGCAAAGCCTCCCTGTGGCTGTCCAGTCTACAGTTTCTCCCAATGTCAGGAATGCCACCACTGGTTTCTGGCAAACACTCTTGCTTAGGAACTACAGTGACTCTGTACTGCCTCTGCAGCCAAGTCCAAAGCCTTTGGCCAGGTTGCTCAAACACCCTACCCGGCCAGCCTTGTCTCCCACTGCATGGCAGAGCCACCGCATCATTTTCAGCATGCATCTTGTGAATTTCAACCTCTGTTTTTCCTAATCCCACCCCCCCACCACACCTCCCAAATCTGGTCCTACTCATCCTTAAGGCCCAGGCTGATTTCCATGAAACTTTTCCTGACGTCTCCAGCCCACAGCAGACTCCTCATGGCCCTATCCCTGGTGACAACACGAGTTAATAGTATCCTATTTAGCTATTGATTGATCTCCAATTGTTTTCAGTGTTTTAGTCTTGTTTCCTCTATTGGACACGTAGCTGATGTTTAATAAATATTTGGTTGAATTGTTGATTGGGGAAAATGTAGAGAAAAGACCATTAGAATCTGAAGGAGGTAACACTGCAAGCATATGTGTGCATGTGTGCATGCATGTGTATGTGCATGAGTGTGCCTGTGTTATCACGCCAAAATGTGTCTTCCACCTCCTTGAGAAACATACCCGAATACCCTTCAGTGTCTAGCCACCTGTGCCAATACTCAAGCAATGGATGATCTGCCCCCACTCCAGGCCTCTGCTGTCTGGTGTATGGCCTGATCAGTACCTGGGAGGACATCAGCCTTCTGAACTCAGCATAAAGAGGCATCAATTCTCCTATGAAACCCAACATCTGCTGCACCTATTTCTGTTTCCGTGGCTGAGAACACATTCCTGGCTCCGTGGCTCACCAAGGCCAGCAGTGTGCAGGGGGATTGGAGGGGAGGGGAAGGAGGAAGGAGATTCTGGTGGGCTGGAGCTGACAGGCAGTTCCTTGCCCAATTCAACCTTGTATCAGAGCATGTTACAAAGCACAGAACTGACTGATTTGTGTGCTTGGACAGCAGAAGTTCTATGAGTACAGAGTCTGGGTCTGGTTTCGTGTCCCCAATATCTAGTACACAGCCAGCGCTTGATAAATATTTAAGGAATGAGTGTAGATATGTGTGTGCTGGGAAAGACTTCAGAGAGGCAGAATTCAGCTCCCTGTGGAGATAAACTTTCTAACATTGGTTGATGCCCATGGGCATTACTCGACTGTCTCAGGCTGTGATAAACTCCCCAGTTCCAGTGCTCCAATGGGAGGAGGACAGCTGCTGATCAGGGATGCTATACCCGGAGAATCCAAGCAGTGGAAATGCAAACTAGAATTCAAGGCAGAAAAAGGTTAAGAACCAAGGGGAGCTACAGACAAAGAGTTTTGGGAACAGTACAAAGGAAGGAGTGATTAGTTCTGAGGGGGTGGGCAAATCATGGAAGGCTTCATGGATGAAATGGCATTTGATGTGGATTTTTAAAATCTGTAGCATTTCCACAGGCAGAGAATGAGAAAAGTGCATTCTATCCTGATAGACCAGCATAAGCCAAGGTCAGGAGCTTTGGAAATAAGCGACATCTTAGAAATCAGTGTCTCATATGGTATGGCTGGAGTGTCAGCTGGGTGGATGGAGGGACTCAGGGGAGGGGGGATAGTTTTGTGCCAGATCCTGAAATGCCTTCAATGCAACGGCGTTAGCCCAAACCTGGGCTAAGGTGTTTGGATTTTATTCTGTAGGTAATAGATATTTTTGAGGTGGAAGAAATATGTTTTATTGAGATAATTCTAGCAAGAATGAAAGTTGGAATGGAGAAAAGATAATAACAGCTCACATTTATTGATGGCTTGCCATGTGCCACTCACTGTTCTAAGCAACTAGCATTCTGTCTCATTCCACCCTACTAGTGTATGAAATGAGTTCGGTAATTATCCCATTTTACAGATGGAGAAACTGAGGCACAGAAAGGCTAAGCCACTTGTCCAAGGCCACACATCCAGTCAATAGATGACCCAGGAGTCCAACCTAGAAGTCTTCTCCAGAGCCACTTTTAACCATCCCAGTTGATTACCTCACCCCGGGACCAGTTAGAGCATAGCCTATCACAATAGTATCCCAGAGAGAGGAGGAGACCTTGAATTAAGATTGTAGAGATGACAACAGAAAAGAGGCAGCATTTACTTACTGCCTTTTGTGAAAGAAAGGGGGGAATATATATACCATTCGCTTGTATCCACATACAGAAATACTGGAGGGATACATGAGAAACTAATGAAAGCAGCCACCGATAGAGGGGCTCGCCTCTGTCTTGGAGGGGTGGATGAGGAGTTGAGCGGGGTGAGACACCTCAAAGCACGCCTTTTAATAGAGGTCTGATTTCTGACCCACATGAATGTGTTCTTTATTCAAAACACACATAAATGATATAAAATAAAAAGGCACAATTTAAAAGCTAATTCCAAGGAACATTTGAAAGGGCATAACAGCTAGTTGGATGTGGAAGGCAATGAAGGAGACAATACAGCCAAAGGAAGCGCCCGGGTCTCTAACTTGAGTGGGAAGATGGCAGCCCTTTAGCCCAGCTGGGAAAACCAGGAGGAGAGTGGGTTTGAAGGAAGCTGTAACGTGTTTGGGTTTGTTTGTGGCTGGAAGTGGACGTGTGGATGTTGAGCGTAAGGTCGACAGCCCAGATGGGGGTGTTGATTTGGGACAGTCACATGACGATGGTATCAGACCCTGTGAGTGGATGTTAAGAGTAAGGGGGAGTAGAGAAGGAGAAAGCAAGGGGGCAGAAGACAGAGGTTAGAGGAACCTACACTGAAGGAGAACCAAAGAGAAGCTCAGATGGAGACTGTGACGGCCTGGTCAAGGGCAGGATGTAGAGGTGAGTACAAAGGAGCAGAGAATTTCCAGAAGGAGGGGAATGGTCTCCTAAGGTCTAATGGGTTAGAAATGAGAAGAAGATGGTAGGATGGGATCAGAATGTATGATTCTAGAAACAGGGGAGAGGAGACGTATGAGAGACAGTGGGTGCAACCACCCAACATAGGGTCCCCCTGTGGGACATCCAGGGGCTTCTCTTCCAATTCTGCAAAGACAACAAGCCAGGGACACTGAGGGCTCTTTAGTCTCTACTTTCAGCCAATGTAGATATCCTACTGCTCTGGAAGGTGTTGTTACACAGCATACTCCAGCAACTGAATGGTTAAAAGGGAAACTGAGGCAGGCAGTCCTAGAAAACCTCTCTGACTTTCTGTTATCACCCCATTCAGGCCAATGGAAACCTATAGTTTGATGTTTTGTTTTTGCTTTTTATTCTTCCTCTCTCTATCACACACATGAATGCAAACACAATTATACACACACATGTACATGTGTGCGCGCACGCACACACACACACATACAAGACATAAAAGGGCCCCTTTGCAAAAGCATTCTTCTGGATCAGACTCGATGCTGCTTGGAGGGAGGGAAAGCAGAGCAGAAGAAAGGAAGGAGAGATGCAAGCCACCCTAGCTACTTTTCCTCCCCTTTAAGGCTGCCTGGTTACGGTCCTGGGAAAGAAAATCTCTGCATCCCTCCCCTTTAATTCGGTTTATTGTTAAAGCAAGGGAGCAGCTAATCCTCACAGACCTGTAGGAGCTGGAGTGGGAGCACCAGAGCCTGATTCCTTCTGAGTCCCTGGGTAAGCTGAACCTGCTTCCTTTCTGGGTTTTAGGAGGTTTCTCTGCTTAGTGGGAGGCATGTGGCCCTTAGAGAGTGGATTTGAAGAGCCACTTTTGCAAGCAACTTGGGTATTTATTTCAGCCGCAGTTCCAGTCTTGCCTGATTCTTGGGGTATCAAGGGTAAGTTGTAGCTGCCTTGGAAAATAAGTCTGAATGGGGGTCTGGGTGGGACCTCCGTGGGGAGCCATCTGGCCATCACTTCAGGGTTGGCTTGAGTAGGAACCTTTTGCCCTTCTGGGCAGGGAAAGGGGAGCAAAACATCTGTCTATGCCCCTCCTGCCGTGCCTGCTCTCAGGCTGCCTTCTAGGGACAATCCTCCCAGCTCTGTGCTGGGGAGGGGCCGTCCATCTGCAGGGTGTCAGGACCTCCAGCGTGCTTGCACCCCTGCCTCCTACTCAACCTTCATCTCTTAACCTCTCTGACCCCATCTGACAAATGGGGCAATGCCCATTCTGCCTACCTGCCTGGGTTGTTGTGAGAATTAGGAGAGCCAGTGGGCAAAAGGAGGTTGGTAAACAGCCTGTGGCTCTGCAAACCTAAGGAAGGTGGACCAGCCTCAGTCCCTCCTGGCAGGGTCCATGGACAGGCTCCAGCTCCCCGTCCCTGGCTGTGTTAGGAAGCAGAACTCAGCCACAGTGGGCGTTGTCAGTCACAAGACCACTCCTTCACCTTCCCCAGAGGCGTGTCTATCTCCCTTCTGTCTTTAAACTTCCCTAGTTTAGTTCTCAGGTAAAGATGTTAAAAGGAGGTCTGGATTCACCACCACCCCCATCCGCACTGTGGCCCCTTCTCTCCACGTAACTTTGACGCACAAACATTAACCCTGAGGCTCCCGGAGGCGGTGGCCAGGGCTCCGGCTGGTCTGGCTGCAGTGCGTGGCTGGCCAGCTGCTTGCTCTGAAGCCAGATAAACTGATCATGAGGAAAATCTCTGAGAAGGCTCAAGAGAGTCAAGCAGGTTCCGTCTTGGGTAAGGACATGATCTTTCCTAGATCAGAGGCAGGAGACAGAGCCTGGCCCCTGGCAGTCCTACTGCCCCAAGCTTAAGCAGGGCCAAAGATGAGACTCGATAGCCCATAACACAAAGTGCTTAGTAATACTGATATGGGGATCACACTTTACAGTTTATAATGTGCTTTTAATTAATCATCTTTAGGACAAGCCCATCAGGCTGGTGGGGCCAATAGTATTTCTCGCTTAGTAGAGATGAGACCACTGAGACTCAAACAGGCTTGCCTGGGGTTGCAAAGCTGGATGCTGGCGGTGTCCATTTGATGACAGTAGCCTTTGAACCCAGCTCTTCTGACATAATCAGTGACCTTTCCGTGATACTACAGACAGCTACGGAGGGGTGTATGTATTAAGAGCACTTTTTAGAAAGATGGGGCAAAAGTTTGGGAAAGAAGCCCGAGGTTAGAGTGAGAAAAGGTTTGAGCTGGAGCTGGGAGAGGCTGGGGCAATAGACGCCAGTCCCAGCCTGAACGCTGAGGAATCTGAGGGTTCCCAGGATCCGGCCTTTCCCGGATCATCCGAGCCATGTGTTCCAAGGGGAATCAGTTGGGTGGTGGGATTGCATGAAAGCAGCCGAAGGAGGAGTGGGGAGGTAAGGGAAATCCCGATGAGCCCCTCCAGGAGAGAGGCAACAGGTTCTGTGGTAGGGTGGCAAGGTGATCGCTGCTGGCATCTGGTGGACTGGGGCTCCCAGCCCAGCTCTGTCATTTACTATCTGTTTGGTTTGGAGTGTTTTTCTTAACATTCTTACCCATCAGTCTCAGCTATGAAATGGGCTTAATGATACCTACCTTGAAAGGCTGCAGTGAGGTATTAAAGGAGACAATGCAAGTAAAGTGCCTAGCATCGTGCCCCACCCAGGTGATCAGTCCCTTGGCAGGGCAACCAGAGATATTCTAAGGCCTGGAGCAATTCTGGCCAGGACTGAAAAGAACCCCCTCCAAGAAGAGAGCGCCTCCCTCGCTCCCTCTCCCTCCTTCACACACGCGGCCAGAAATAAATTGCCCCACGGAGTGCGTGCGTGCGAGTGACGGGGCCCAGCCGCAGCCTGCCAGCGCCCGCGGAGTGAATGAGCCGCAGCATGAATGAGAGGGGGAGCGGCTGAGCCCGCACACCGGCTGCGCCCGCGCTACAACTGCAGGTGCCGCCACGGTCGGCGTTGAGGGGCTGGGGCTGGGCGGCTGCCGGCGTGAAAGCAAGCCTGTGGGGGCCACGGGGCTGCGGGGGCTGTCCATGACTGTCAAGCCCGTGTCCTAGGAGGGAAGGCTGGTGACGCCGAGCTTCTGGCCACAGCCGTCCTGGGCTCAGCCTGTCCTTCTTTCTGCACCCCCTCCCCAGGCGGAGACCCCCGTCTCTCCTTCCGGGAGGCGCAGTGGAGTGCCTGGCTGGCCCGTTTCATAGCAATGAGCCCCACACGTGTGCAAAGCAGGCACTTCTTGCGTGGCAGTTAGGCTCAAACGCGGCGTGTGGCAGATGCACAGTCAACATTATTACCCTTGAAAGCTCCTTAGAAAGGTGTCCCAGTGGAGACCAGCGTATTGCCCATGAAAAAACCCAGCACAGGCAGTGTTCCCTACAGTGTTGCACCAGATCTCTGTTTTCTTGGTTGAGTACCAGATGAAGTAGTTGGTTTACATTTCAGGGCCACGATGTATGAAAATTTATATATTTTTAAACTCTTTAGAATCACAGTGAGATGAGATGCTCACACTGTGAGAGGCATGTGGGAGCTGAGACCGGCTGCAAGAGGAGCAGATTCCTGTCTCCTGTTGTGTGCTCACCCCCATTTAAATTAGTTGTTTCCCTGTCTGTCTCTCCCAGTGCCCAGTATTTAATTCATGTGCCTATAATGTGGGCCCACTGCATAGCGCCTGAGAGGTTGCAGAACGCTTTCATGCCCATTGATGTATTGGGCCTCCACAGGAATGCAGAGAAATAGAGTAGGGATCATTATTCCCATTCAGCAGATGAGGAAACTGAGGCCTACCGTGGTTAGGGGTACATTAAGAATAAGTAGCACACCCTGCTCTCCCCAGTGACTTCTATGTGTTAACCTAAAGAACCAAATAAAGACCTAGAGAATGCTCTTCACTTCCTCCATAAGAGGCACACAGCAAACCTCAAGCACCGTGTGAATTCTGGCTTGTCACAGCAGCAGGAGGGATTTGGTTAAACTTAAATGTGGGTTTCAGCCTGAAATAAACTGTAGGAGGCAATTGAAAAACTCCCTTTCTCAGTGACTTTGTGAACAGAACTGCCGTGCAGAGTTGGCTTTTGAGATGCAGGACTAGTGCGAGGGCTGGGGATGGAGTCCATGTTCCCTGGAGGTTCTGCCCAGCCAGAAGTCTCCAGGAGCCTCTAGGCTCCAGGGTCTGGGCTCTGGCAAGCTGACCAGCCACTCGAGCTGCAGCCCATGAACTGGAAATGAGTTCTGACAGCCACACGGACCCAGCCAACGTGCCTGTGACACCCTGAGGAGAGCAGGACTGTGACTGATGGCAGCAGGCTGCTGGAAATTTCATATATTGCTCAAACAAATGGAGAATCCCAAAGTATCAGAGTTGACCTAGTCCCTGCTTTCCAAAGTAAGCTCTGAGCAACCCACAACCCCCTGGATGCTAGTAGGTGTTACAAAAGGAAAGAGTTTCACCGTCTAGTGAATTTGGGGGTGCTAGGTTAAATAGCATTAAGCAGGTGTCTTTAATGGTCCTCAGAGCCTTTAATAAGCTAATGTGGATCATGATTCTCCAAGAAGGGGCAGCAAATCCACTTTGCTCACAGAGAGTCTCCTGGGACTAATACTCTAAAAAGCAAACTTCAGTGAACCTTAATCTAGTCCAGTCTCCTTTTCACTAAGGAGAGAGGGGGAAGCCTGGAGATGTGCAGTGATCTGCCCGGAGCTGCCCAGTTCCTCAGTGCCAAGCCCAGACTGGACCCAGAACTTGAGTTCTTTCTAGTGTGCCTCTCAATCCAGAGGACGATGGAAAGTTCAGTACTGGCCAGAGTCCAGGAAACTGTGGGGCCCGGGCGAGAAAATGTCCCAGCTTTAGCCTTTTCACTCCTTTGTAACCGAGTGATTTGTATACTGCATGACTCTGTGTCCCAGCCCAGAGGCAGAGAGCACATTCTTATTAAAGATGATCTGACTGATAACCTCCTTCCCAAGACCCAGAGGCCTTTCTGAGTCATGCTCCCAAGAAACGGGAAATCCTGGAAGCAGACCGTAAAGCAGCTTGAGGGCAGGCTGATTCCTTTGAGGTCAGTAAAAGAGCCACACATGGTCCCTCGGGAAGGCTCTGAAGCCTGCTCACCACACCCTAGAGTGATTCACACCTCCTTGCTCAGAAGCCTCAAGTGACTGCTCCAGTGAAGGCAGGGTGGCTCTTCCCGTAGGTAGAGTTGAGAGCCATTATCTGTGGGTTGAAGGCTGCAGAGGTGCTACTCAAAGATTCTCTCCTTCCCTGTCCCCATTTCCTCTGGTTCGTTCGTGTCCAATTTAGGAACTCTACTGTGGCTTTGGGAAACACACATTGGATTGAATTGAATCGAATTGAATTAAAAGATGGTACTCCCAAGACTCTGGGACATCTTATCAGGAGGGGTGACACTCTTAAGTAGTTAGCTCAGCTGATTCATTTAGTAAGCACCTCAGAGGAGAGTGTGAAGTGGCTATGACTCAAAATAGGAAATTTTTGATAAGGAGGCTATGTGGAGCAGGGTGAGCAGGAGTGAGGGTCCAGAGAGATGGTCCAGGGCAGTGTGGGGTTTTGAGGTGACCTGGCATCTTTCTGGGTATGGTGATGGCAATGAGGAGGCCCTGAAGATAAACCTCATCTGCCTTGGAGTTCTGTCTGGTGCTGGTGCTGCTCCTGTGACCCAGTGGGGTCTGGGAAGGAGAGAAGGACAGTGACGCTCCGTGGAAGAAACCTGTGAGGGTGCCTGCCTCCTG